CTAGCCGAGGGCAGCCTGGATTTTGACAGGACCCATGGTAGTTGTTTAGAATGATGGCCGGCAAAGGGCCCCTTCCAGCTCAACAGTTCTAAGAGGATGATGGTGGCGAAGCTGCTTCATTCTTTTCCTGCATTCTCCATGTTCTATTCCTGTTTTCAGACGGGCACCCTAATATTGCAACGCTCAGAGACTTAAACCACTGAGGTCTCCAGCCAGCTCTACTACCATCTTGATTGTCCTGTTTTTTTTTTCATTAAAATGGTCCTCAAAGTTTCTAAAAATTTCAATTTTTTTTCAGTGCAGAAGGCATGTATACACTTGTTGTTATGGGCCATAGATGTACGGTGATCCTAACAGGGCTATTTAAGGGGTGGTTTATGGTTTTACCAATTCCACACACCCGTGGCTGAGCAGGGATTCGAACCCAAGTCTCTGGAGTCTCAGTCATTAATTTGCCACCCAGGATCAATCTGGATGACAGTGTGCTTGCTGACAATACATCATTAGGTTAAGTGACTTCAGTCCTCTTGATTTCCTCAAGTCTAATCCCTTGTCACCAGAGCTGTGCAGGTATACCGATCTTTCATCTTGGCAGTAAAGTCTTAAGAATCTCCAGTTGCAGAGCCCTAAAGTGCATATTTTAACATCAGCTCTCAGTAGGTAATATTCATGTGCCTTTCTGGAGCACCAACAGCACAGTCTGGATTTCTCCTTTCTGCCAATGACCAGATGCTGTACACGAGAACATGAACCAGACCCGTTTGGTTGTTGTTGGAATTGTTTGTAGCCCTGCTTTTAGAATTTTTTTTTTTTAGAAACTCCCACCCATCTATTCTTGTTAGGATTTCTTTTTCTATTCTCTCTGTTCCTTTTGAACAGTTTAGATCCTTACACTGCTTTGTTTCAGCCGTGGGAGTCATTCCGACAAGTTTCAGGTATTCCTCCCAAGTCACACTAATTGGTAGAAAACTGGAACGGTTGTAGCTACTCCCTAGTAGTGACTTCAGTATCCAGGGGCTCAAAAAACACAGCAGAAAACATGAAATTAAGCTTTGCTAGAAAGACTTTACGTCAAAATGCAATGTAAAAGCGATAAACAGGAAACCAAGAAAAGGAGTTAGATAGAAAGCAAAGGAGCAAGAAGAAGGAAATGTTGCTACTAAGCTCTGCACAGTAACTAGAATCTAAAATCTCTCCGGTGACTTTGGGGATTAATTCAGAGAAGCTTCCAAAGAGTCACTATTTAGGGGCTTGGTTTTTTTCCAGGCAGGAAGCTGTTTGTACAACTAAATAGGTGGTTCCGCGTCCCTTTTGACCTCCAGTCCAGATCACTCTGAACAAAGTCAGCATGGCGATCTCTCCTCTCTCTCTTCTCGTTCTCGCTGGCTTGCTAGGATCCTCGGCTACCGAAGGTAAGTAATCTGATGAGACTGGACAGTTTATCTTTGCTAAACCCACTTTAGCTGCTGGGGCTCCACCCAAAGGGATGTAGTTTGGGGAGAGACTGAGCGTTTTTCCACTTGAGAGCTCTCTGGCCTTTTCCCCAAAGCCTAGCTGGGCCTCATAAGGCTCTCGGCAAAGAACAAAATCCTAGGCGTCTGTCGGATGGACCCCACCAGATGGTTGTGAGAAAACAAGGGTTCATCACAGACATAGCCATAGATGTATGGCAATCTCTCCCCTCTGTCTTCTGGTTCTTGCTGGTTTCCTAGGATCGTTTTGCGAACGAAGATAGTAAGTAATGTGATGAGATTGGAGAGTGTATCTACACTTCAATCCTTATAGCAATTTGATTCCAATTTAGCTACTGGGGATCCATCCTAAGGAAAGTAATTTGGGGGAAAGACTGCGCATTTTTGGCGTGAGAGCTGGTGGCTGCCCTGAACCACTCCAAAGCTGAATGCTCCTTTTTATGGACCATTGATCTGATCCAACAAGCTTTTTAATATATTCTTACTCTCAGCAGACAGGGAAACCTTGACGGTTTAGCTGAAAGCCCTACTAGTCCACTCTCTGTTCCCCGAAAACCTCAACAGGTGCCCTTTGGGAGAACAACAAGAAGGACTTGAAGTTGGGGACAAACACAGTCCTAGACGACCACTTGAGATCCTAAGTTGAAAGGATTTAAAAAGAATGTTAATATTTCTTGCTTCCCTGCAGATCTTCAGAAGAAGGTCTTCGTTTTCCCGACAGCATCAAACAACGCTGCTGTGTTTTTGAAGGCCCCGCTCCGGCGGCCGCTGACCAGCTTCACCGTGTGCCTGAGATCCTACACCCTCTTGACCCGTGCATATGGCCTCTTCTCTTATGCCACCCGGAGAAACTACAATGAACTCCTCCTCTACAAGTTCGGCCCAAACCAATACAGCCTTTACCTGGGAGGCTCCACTGTGAGCTTCAACCTTCCGGAAAAGCAGGGCGCAGAATCGGATTGGGAACACATCTGTGTGAGTTGGGACTCTGCCACAGGGTTAGTGGAATTGTGGGTGGATGACCATCTTTTGCCACGCGTGGGGCTGAAGAAAGGTTATGCCATCAATCCCGAGGCATCTATTGTCCTTGGGCAAGATCAGGACTCCTTCGGAGGTGGCTTTGATATCAACCAGTCATTTGTAGGAGAGATATCAGATGTATACATGTGGGACAGGGTGCTGTCTGCTGATGAAGTGAATCTTGTCTGGAATGACAACAGAGTTGATAACTGCCTGATTAACTGGAGAGACCTAGATTATGAGACCAGTGGTTATGTGGTTCTTCACCCTCCTGTTTTTCCAAGCTACTGATTGAAGAACAGTTGCTAAACAAATCAATTCCCTTAACAGCTGGTCTTCTCTATCACTAGCTTAAAGCAGTCTAAAGATTGTACAACACTAATTCAGTAATGGTTATTATGCTGATTTCAATGATTTTAAGACTTCCATGGACAAACTATCAGCATATTCTTCCAAGAAATCATTACTTTAATCTTGTTTCATTTTCTCTTAATAAGAATTTATACGAGTGTCATCAACCAGAAATTCTATGGCAAATTTCCATATTAAAAATGGCTATAACTATGATTTTAAAAAATTGATTCCAAAAAAATAAACATTAGCATATTTTCCCTCCATACTGCTTGATTTTTACATGTCTGGCTTCCTTCCTTCCTCCCCATCTTTCTGAGATGATCCACATCAATATGTTTCAATTCATTTTTGAAGAATCTATCAATGTTCACCAATTTCTTTCTATCTGGGATGGCAAGAACTATAAGATCAACAAGAAATACAGTGGTGCCTCGCTTAGCGATTGCTTCATTGAGCGATGAAATCGCTTAGCGATGGACCTTTGGCCATCGCTGGAGCGATCGCCCCAATGGGAAACAATCGCTTTGCGATGATCGCGGGGAAGCGATCACTGCAAAGCCCCCATTTTTTGACAGCTGGTCGGCTGTTCCAAAATGGCCGCCGGGGGAAAAAAGGCCACCGCTGTTTTGCCTCACTTTAGAGGCACCCAAAATGGCCACCGCTATGGAGGAATTTCGCTGTAAGTTTTTAGCCCATAGGAACGTATTAAACACGTTTTAATACGTTCCTATGGGCTTTTTAAAATCGCTTAGTGATTAAATCACTTAGCGACGTTTTTTCCTGCATGGACTAACGTCGCTAAGTGAGCCACCACTGTACAGATATTAACCAAAAATAGGTTGTTCTTCACAGAAAAGGAGGAAATTTTTGTTTAGAATGTACATGTGCTAATTTAAATGAATGGATTCCAATATTATAATCAAGTATTATTGTTGCAACTTACTGTATTGCACAAGACTGACTAGGTAACCACCTTGCAAAACAGCATTGAGAGACAGGGGAGGTATAATTCAAGTACAGTGGTGCCTTGCATTACGTTAATTCATTCCAGCAAAATTGCTGTAGAACGAAAACATCATCACGTGGTACAGAATGCGGTGGCCAGACTCCTTACTGGAGTGAGAAAATACCAACACATTTCTCCAACTCTGGCCGCACTGCATTGGCTGCCCATTCGTTTCCGCGTCGACTTCAAAGTCTTAATGCTTACTTATAAGGCCCTAAATGGTTTAGGACCTCGATACTTGGCGGAATGTCTGCTTCCACCAAGGTCTACCCAGATCACCTGTGCGAGTCAGGAGGTGAGGCTGAGGAGCCTGATGCCGGGAGAGGTCCAGAAGGAGAAGACATGAAACCAGGCCTTCTCGGCGGTGGCTCCTCGCCTATGGAACAACCTCCCTCCGGAGATTCGCGCAGCCCCTATGCCGGGAATCTTTAAAACCCAATTAAAAACATGGCTATACATCCAGGCCTTCCCTCCAGTCAATACCTGATATCTTTCTGTTTCCCTTTATTTTTTTCTTCTATTTTATTACAGTTATTATTGAACGACTATGCACATTCTTGAGTTTATTGTTTTATCCTATATTTTAAGCCGCCTGGAGTGGACGAGATAGGCGGGGTATAAGTCAAATAAATAAATAAAGCAAAATTAAAAAGCCCATAGAAATGCATTAAAACCCGGTTAATGCATTCCGATGGGCTGGAAACTCACAGTCCAGCGAAGATCCTCCATAGCGCGGCCATTTTCGGTGGCTGTAGAGCGAAGAATCCGTCCCAGAAAAGAGCGGGGAGCCATTTTATTTACGCGGCAGCCATTTTGAAACCACCGATCAGCTGTTTGAAAATCGTCATTTTAAGAGAATCGGTTCCTGAAGCAGGGAACCAATCATCGCAAAGCGAAATTCCCCCATAGGAAACATCGTTTTGCGATCGCTTTTGCAATCGCAAAAACGTCGACGTCAAGCAGTTTCATCGTTAAACGGAGCGCTCATCTTGCAAGGCACCACTGTAAATAAATAAGGCAGAGTAATGGGAGATATCAGCTTCCATTATCCTGATATCTGTTGGGAAGCCAATTCTGCCAGGTACAGTCCTTCCGAAAATTCCACGTCTGTGTGCCTGATCATTTTCTCCCACAAAAAGTGGAGAAAGAAACTAGAGGACTAGCTATCCTTGACTTGACTCTAACCAGTAGGAACAACTTGATGGTGGATGGGGCAGTAAGGGGAACCCTGGGCAAGAGAAACTCTCTTCTAGTAGAATTCTTGATTTCCAAGGAAACATATGCTGGACTTCTTTTTAAAAAAAAGCCAGTTTCATTAAATTTGGGAAAAGGATAAGTAAAGTCCCATGGCAGAAAATCCTAACAAGAAAAGGAGTCCAAGTAGGCTGGGAGCTTCCAAAAAAAAATTCTCAAGGTACAAATTCCAACAATTGCAACAAGAAAAAAAGGTGGGAGGCAGCAGAAAAGGACAGTGTGGCTTCACAGAAAGCTCAGAGAGGACCAGAAAACAACAACAACAACAACAACAAAAGAAGACGGATAGGAAGCAGAAAGAAGGCCAGGACACCAAGGATGAGTACAAGAATGAGTATGTTTCGTTTCCACATTGAATTCAAGGTCACGATGATAACATTCAAAGCCCTAAACAGTTTAGGACCTCAGGACCTATTAGAACACCTGCTCCCAGCCAGATCGGTCCGTAATACCCGTTCTTCCCGGGCAGCGTGGTTGAGGACGTTGATCCCGAAGGACAGAACTGGAGGGAAAGAACAAGAAATCGGGCCTTCTCGGTGGTTGCCCCCCCCCGCCTATAGAACAACCAGCCTATGGAGATCCCTGCTGGGCATCCTCGCTAGAGAAGTTCAAAGGGGCTCTTCCACTAGGATCTCGCCCTCCCTTTTTACCATACTTTTTGCCATCCTCTCCATCACTCCCTTTAAACCACCTTTATTGACATCTGTTTTAATGTCCCTGTTTGTTATGTATTAATTTATTTTTATCGTGCTTTTTAATATTATTCTTTATATTGTTATTAGCTGCCCAGAGTAGCCAGATGGTGTGGGATATAAATTCAAACAAACAAACAAACAATACAGACAAGTAGCAAGGAAATGCAGAAATGGCATTAGGAGGCAAAAGCTGAGAATGAGCTGGGATTCGCTAGAGGCACTAAAAGCAACACCCCACCACACACACACACATTCTACTCTTATGTATGTAGCAAAAGCAATTTGTAGCTCTACTATATTTTTTGCGGGAATGAGTCCTAATTGCCCCAAACCCTGAAACTGCCTTTACTTTTTTGTAAAATGGAACTGCTTCAGGTTATATTAAAAAAAGCAGTAAGCCTTTTGCTTAAACCTACACATTTGACTGCAATTTCTCAATACAATAATGCAATTCTACAGCTGTGTTGTCATTTAAACAACTGGAGATGCTGCAGGCACTAAATCCTGTGTTTGATGCACTTGGAGGATTTTGGTGGGTTTTCAAGTTTCTGCCTCGCAGGGTTGGTTTGCCACTAGGAGCAAGAACCTGCTGGTTTGGTTCGCTGTGAATCACCATGGAGTCTGGAGGTACGTTTGCAAGTACAGTACGTGAAGGAAACCATACACAAAGAAACGATCTTGCATCTATAACTATTTCCAAAGAAGTAGCCTTGTTGCACGTGTCGACTGGCAAAATTAAAGGGCCCATTTTCTCAACATGCAGTGACACGACGCAGCAACATCATCTCAAAAACGTCCCTGTTGAGCAAGCGTGGCTGCGGAGATTTTTCCCCTTTAAAGATGCCGAGAGGAAGGAAGGCAAGATGCGAGATTTTCTCAGGAGACCATTTGATGATTGCAGCTAGTTGAGAGAGTCAATACGCATGCGCTACAGATGTAAAGAAAGCCCAAAGAACCAATGATGTGTCCTTAGCCGTATAAAACACACAGACAAAGGGTCATAAAATGAGTCATTGAAAGTGGTATTTGATTTGAGTCTCTTTTTCTGTAAATAACCAAAAGGTAAACATTGCTTTGGGCATATGGTTGTTTCCTCAGAAGATAAGGGAGAAACCTTGTTTTATTATACTGTTTGCTAGATGGATACGTCTCTCCCTCCCATCAATTAATGGCCCACATTCCCACGATAACCACACTACAGTACATAAGAAACTGCATTGGTATAACTGGTAATTCGAACAGACGCGGTGATGTTTCAAAGCTGAAACAAGGAGGGATCTCCTCATGTCCGCTCTCTCAGCTCCTATGTGCCCTTTCCCTCGAGTCTCTGTCAGGACAGACAGGGAATTGTCAAAAAAATGGCCAGATATAAAATCTACAAAACAACAACAACATCTTGTGCTTGTTGTTTTGTGAGGGACCCTGTTAGCTAAAGGCGGGAAGGTGGAACAGCCCCTCCAGGAAGCATTCAGCCGAGTAGGATGATAAGCCACCTTCACAAATGGATAGAATGTTGATTTTAGCCAGTGGGAAGAAGACGCTTTCCTCTTTCACCAACAAGACTACAGAGAAGGAAAAAGCACCTAGCAGGGGGGCAGAGCTCTTTTTGAACTCAGAAGCAGGAGGGAACTAATGGTTGGTGCCGGTTAGATTTCCAGTCACTCCCCTCGCCCAGAAAGACCCCTCCCAGCGACACCT